GATTTTAATAGTTTTAACCGTCCAGTCGGGAAAGATCTATTTAACAACTGCTTTTATGCATGTTAATAAACCTTGTTTTATTTACGTCTATGTTCTTGAGTTGAGATACTTTAAATTATTTATTTTATTTATTCTTCATGCTCACTTACGCATACGAGTTCAACTGCTTTCTGAATCAGAACTGCTTAGTCAATAGAACGCTCCTATGTGCGGTTCAACATCGGTGGTTGAAATATCGATCGTATCACTTGCGTTTCATATGTTTTTGTGTGATAAATAAACGACTGCCACTCATCCAAGAAAGCGAGGTATCACACATCATCCCTTACACGCCGCTACTTACTAATATTACCATCACGAAAGGTCTTGACTGAAGGCATTTAATCGAAAATCAGTGTCGCACCAAAATCTCCAGGAAAAGACAACGCCCTTCTTCAAATCGGCATTCCAATAGTTATAGTCCAACAGTTCATACAGACTTTTCTAGCGTTTTCCGTTTCGTGAGCCTTGGTAAACTTTGTACTGTTTACTTGGTGCTTGCGGCTATGATAAGCGTGACACCTGAATTTTTGGCAGATTGTCTGAACAAGACGCTGTCATTTTGTGTTTTATAGTAATTCTCTTTCAGGAAAATGCTATGTTTTTCGGAATGTTAGAAGAGCTTCATCATCAGTGCGATGACTTGTTAATGCTGAAGGATAGCTACAAAGAACAGCTGATTGCTTCCTCCACAAAACTGTAAATGATTTGAATTAAAAGCTCGTTTGTCTTAGTGCTAGAAATTTAGGCAACACGTTCAGTGCGAAGCGGACATTGCTCAACAGCAGTTGACAGAGATACAAAAGCAGCTAAAAGAAGCTGAAGGAAAAAGGTAACTTTTCTTAGGTTGATGTCGATTCAATGTGGACAGATCAGAGGTGCTCATATTCAGTGGCTAAATGAGTATAGTCGAGAATTGAGAACTACTGACAGACTGGCTTATGGGATATAATGTCAGCGTTCTGTTTGCAACGTCAGTCTGTTCACAAGTTTCTCTGCTGGTTTTATTCTTTCTGTTGCTGAATAAGAAAGTTAATTTTCATAAAGGTAACAAGGTTGGAAATGATTAGCAAAACTTCAGAGAAATATGCTGAGTTCACATGTTTATGCGCGTCGATTAATTTGTTTTACTATCGAATGCAAGTAACTTTCATTTAACATATTTAATGTTTGTTTCATTTGATATATTTTTGACATTTGACATGTTTGTTTTGAGCATGCATTATGA